CACCCCAGTCGCACCTAAATCTACTGTAACGGTTAAACTTTTTTTGACTAAGGATATCCAAATCATTTTTACCTGATTTTCGCTGTCAAAAGTGGTTTTGACCGGTTATGAGTTTTGACTGTTACTATATTAGCTGTTGCTCGCGAGTTTGCTTGTTATTAAAATATTTAACCTGACGAGCACACAGTCTACCTGATGGTTGCTGTGGCCCATAGACATTTACATCTATCCTCGATTACAAATCAAAAATCAGATGTGTAACCCGTAAGGACTAAGATAGAATACCTCGTTTCCAGTAGAAAGGGTCTCCGGTTCTCTACACTCACCATACGAAACAGCAGCTATAAGCTGTTATTTCATGCTGGTATTCTGTGAGAGCGTTGACTTTCCCCGGTCGAGCCGATCGATTCGTGCTACAACTATACTACTTATATAGTTGCAGCATGGCTCTAGCACGTCTGCTTTACTGGAAACCAGGCATTCCACCTTTGTCTTCAAAGGTGGCAACGCATCTGCATGCTAATTCTTAATCGAAGATAGACCACAGCATTCACTTACAATCAGGTGGACTATGTGCTCGTTTGTCACCCTTATGTTCCAGTTCTCTATACTCAACATACGAAACAGCTGTAGCAAGCTGCTATTTACGCATTTGTGGTACAACCACAATATAGCTTTAGCGTGGCTCTACCACGTATGAAGATACGATTGATGACCAAACTCCTAGTGTCACTGTTTTGGTTCCAATCCAACCCAAAAATATGAAATCATAAATTTTATAATTCCACCAATACAATGTTAACAAACAAATTGACATTGATAAATATTTTATCATAAAAACTCCGAAACATTATTCTGTCAACAGTGAAATATTTCATGAGCTGAATACAGAGTACTTTGTTGAAACACAAATACAATGTGAAATTACTGTCTCGTTGATCTAGTGGACGCGATTTTGACATGTGGTCTCGAGTTGGAGTTCCAGGCCGGGCCAAAATCAGATATTGAACTTTGGCGACCGCTGACCATACATAGCTCACAGCTATATTAACCCCGGTGCTAAGCATTTGCCATAATTTCACCGTACGTGAAACACCGCTGAGCATGCGGTAAATGAGCACTTAAAATTACAATTAACAATGTCATTGGTGCCGGCGGGGATCCAACCCCGATTTTTTTTTATTTGGATCACCAACTGATCACACACACACACACACACACACACACACACACACACAAACACGCACGCACGCACGCACGCACGCACGCACGCACGCACGCACGTACGCACGCACGCACGCACGCACGTAGGCACGCACGCACGCACGCACGCACGCACGCACACGCGCACGCACGCACGCACACAACACAGAGACAACGATATATCTCAACACCGGGAAGGTTACATGCTACGTGTTCATCCTTTTACACGTAACCACAATATACATAAACATTTAACGAAGTGAATAAAAAAAAAGGAAAGAGTAATAAATTAATATACAGTTACATGGAAATCCGATTTGCTCAGCTACATTTGAAGATTTTATGCTTATATTCCATAAATCTACTAATTTTATGACATGTTTGTGAAATGTTTACGGATTAAATACTTAAATCTAGGATTATTCGCGTACTGTAAAATCAAGGCTAGTACTTAGATCCTGAGCTATAACGGATATGACCTATGCATGGTAAGTGATCGCACATCTAATTTAAAGGGTGATGATTACATCAATATCCTCATATCCTGGGAGAGGTCCTTGTCCAGCACTGGATGTTTACAGAAATGACTCCGAATTTATGACGTTTTAAAAATATGTTACCGTTACACCCTATTAAAATCCAATGCTGAATATAGGCGTCCCCCATGGAATTTTCTCATAGTGGTTTGGTTAGGGATTGCCTCATTGCCTTATAGATTGCCTCATTTGCCATGGTTGCAACGCTTGGCTCGCGGGTTGGCAACGGCAGTTATTTATTTTTAGTCGTTATTAGGAAGACGCTGCTGTCCATCTCCGGATTTGTTACCCTCTGTCGCCTCCTACGACACCCTCGGGATGATATGGGGTAGTGGATATTCTTATATCACCGCTACACGGTAAGCAGTATAACGTTTCAAAAACATGTACCTACTTATATTTCTCATTGTAATAATTTTCATGATTGGCCACAATTTTATTATTTGGCATACAGTTTATTACCATGACTTCTTTAACATTGACGAAATTCGAAAACATCAAGTAGTATATCGAAATATTAGAAACAGGTGCATTGTGGTGACCTTAAAGTCACCGGACGTTAATATCAAATAAAACTTAGGCACAATGTTATAAAGCAGAGAGATTATTATCAGTCGAATTATGAAAAGACGACGCGTTATAAAATGACGACGTCGGACTACGGCAGGCATCATTTGTCGGTTGTCAGAAACTCGTTCGTTAGTTAAGATGATTAACCGCGTGTAAGGTTGAACGAGCAGACGCTTCACTGTGGCTTGTAAACACCTACATCTAATATGAAATTGCTTGAAGCCTGAGATGGAATCTCGAATTTTGTGAAAGCGTGGACCTTCCCTGGTCGAGCCACCCATTCTTTAACAATAACGCAGCTACAACGTAACCTACGAGTATAGAGCGTAGGTTTGTAATTTTAGATATTATATACTTTCTCGGACGTCGTTTAAAAAATCAATGTTTACACGTCAATTTGAAATAATACAAACATTGAGGATAGGTTGAGGATAGCGTTTTATACGTGGTAGAGACATACTGCAGCTATATTAGTAATATAGTTGTAGCACGAATGGGTCGGCCAAACTGAGGAAGGACCACGCTCTCACAGAATACCAGCGTAAAATAGCAGCTTAACACTGCTGTGTTTCGTATGGTGGGTGTAGAGAACCGGAGACACTTATTACTAGAAAAGAGGCATTCCATCTTAGTCCTCATGGGTGACAACGCATCTGCATTTTGATTCGTTATTGAGGATAGATTTGGATATCTATGGATCACAGCGATCACTTACCATCAGGTTGACTGTGTGCTCGTTTGTCACCTTATCCTTAAAAAAAAAGTAATTATGTTTTGTTACGTATATTTACGCGAACACGACACACTGAATAAAACTATAATTCAAAGGATTTATAGCTTTTAATTATAGTTATTTTTAACTACCGACGTCTGAGTTCTTTCCAACACCCATGGCCAATGGATGGGGACAATAGAAAGGGTGACTAAGGTGTTTGAAGGTAGGTGATAATACCTACCCAGCTGCATTGTCTATAGAAATAAGATTTTATTAACGTTAATAACCTTAACCTTAGTTAGTACATATCATTATAGGATTAGTGGTCTATTAAATTTGTAGGGGCCGTCTTAGATACAACCGAAGACACACGGAAATTGCTGTCAAAAATAAATCATACGTGGTAGAGCTACGCTGCAGCTATATTATAGTTGTAGCACGAATGGGTCGGCTCTACCAGGGAAGGACCACACTCTCGCAAAATAACAGCGTAATATATCTTAATGCTGCTGTGTTTTGTATGGTGGGTGTAGAGAACCAGAGACCCTTTTCATACTGGAAACTGAGGACTAAGATGTAATGCCTTGTTCCCAGTATAAAAAAGGAGATGATAATGCAGACATTTTGATTCTCAATCGAGGATAAAAGTGGATGTCTATAGACCTATTATCTACTTACCATCAATCAGGTGGACTGTGAGCTCGTTTGTCACGCTGATTCTATAAAAATAAAACTTTAATTCAATATATTTTTGTAGTTATCTATAAGGAACCTTATATATTCTAAGACCACAGATAGAAATGTCACTTCTATTACGTCCATACACGGCATTACTTCATAAAAACCCAACCGTTCCAGTTTCAGATGTTTGTTGTTAGTTTCGTTCAAATTTTGATGAAAATAGTACTTTTATAACTCTACATCCATCAAAACCCACATGTGCGGTTATCTACTTGAATACGTTTAATAAATTACCCTTGGTATCCAAACAAACAGTCATAATATAATACTAAAGACTACGTGCGTAGGATGAATACGCAGACGCATCCTGACTCACGTCTTCCGCCTATGACTTTGCAATACTTCGACGATCGCTTCGAGTTGAGGACACATCGGGGTCGGTTTTTTAAATTTATTTTAGTCAATTTAAAAATTACTCGTAACACTATGAAATTATCGTTTCTTAAAATGAAATGTATTGCAGTTTCAAATTACCTTTCTTTCGAGTGTTTTGCTTACTGTAACTTTTTATAGAAAATATGGGTGACAACACACACAGTTCACCTGAATTGGAGACTTCTAAGTCCAAGGGCGGATCCAGCTTTGGCGCCAGGAGAGGGTCACATAGTCGTGGTCAAGTCAAGAACTTATAATTTAATTTTGATAACAATAGATACAAGTAAATAGTAGGTATTTTATTAATGTACGTAAGTACTGTACTTAAAAATATTTATTCTTTATTGTACACTTGAAAAACTTAACACATAATAACTTGTACATATACACGTACATATTGCCATCTTCTCTTGAAGACATCCAGAGAAGCACTATCACGCACGGAATGAGGCAGCCTATTTATATTCCATAACCGTGGTGAATGATTTTTCATAACAGCTAGAGGTATGTTGAGGGGTATGACGCGAAACTCCGCAAAAGTGAAGAAGTGGTACGACAAGGGTTTCCAACAAACAAAATAGAAACAGACAAAATATATATATATTTAAATAACCAAATCAATTTTTCTTTTACGTCTTCTCCCGAAACGCGTTATTACGTCATTTACGTCAATGGGTACGTCCACGATTTAATTCTTCGCAACGTAGAAAAAGACCTTTCTGCTGTCGCTACACTGACAGGGAGTGTAGCCATAATACATAAAAAATTTCTTATATTAGGATACATATCGATGTCACAAATCAAATTAAGATCAGAAATCGACTGCGGTATGTCCTGGCTCCGCTGCCACGCCTGCCACTTCACCATCCATAGCCAATATTTACAATGACAGAAACTGGAGTGTTATCTAGTAATACTCGTAATATATAGTCGGTAACTAGTTCTTTCACAGTTTCAATGTCTTCATTACTATATTCACTTTTTGGCATGAAAACGCTTAGCTGAAACAAATTAAGTACATCAGGAGACAGGCGGTCCTGGAGATCACTTATTATTGAATCTAGAAGAGGGATGTATATAGCTGTGCGGAAATACTCTTCAGCAGATTGAGCAGGTTGGTTATTGGCCCTATATATTTGTTTTGATACTATTCTGGGGCATTTAATTTCTACATCTAGCTGCTCAGCTACTTCTTTAGCCGCTTCAAAAAGCTGTCGGTAGATTACGTCCACATTTTCTCTTTTATTTTGTAAAACACTTAAAGTATCATTAATAGTGTCCGTAGCTTTTTTTTTTAAATCAATTGAGTTCGATTGCAGTATTCTGCTTAAAGATACAGTAGTACCTGAAAAATAAAAGTAAGTGACTGTGACTGTAGTGCATAAACTAAGAATTTATAACTTAATATAAACGGTAGGTACGGTAACTTAATATAAACGGTAGCATAAAATATTAACAAAACAACAACATAATTTTAAAGTAGGTTTAGTATAGTCGTATAAGTTCATTTGCCAAACAATAAGAAACAAAATAATTTAGGAAAGTACCCACCTAATACATCACTTAAGCAGATGGAGGATATAATAAAGTCAGAACTGCGCAATGTTTGCAGCAAGCAATGCGCATCATTGGCAGTTTTATTGTCTTGCCAAGCAGAAATCTTCTCCAGAGCGCTACAGATTTCGACTAAGTGGTATCCTTGAAATTGTAGATGCCCATCATGCCTCTCTACCCAACGTGTCTCACAAATACCTTGCATGGCAGCTCCGAGTTCTATTTTAAAAATTTCATGTATTTAGCGGATGCATTGGCATATGCCACAACTTTTCTCATTGTGCAGATGTATTGCGATAGCAAACTACTTTGGATGGTCTTGCCAATGAGTTATTGAGCACATGGTTGTTGCACGGGCAACGTTTAGCATGAATGGCTATTTTCATCGATTCTTGCACTGCACCTTTTGTATCTGATGCCATAACCGAGCAGCTGTCAGTTCCAATACCCACACACCAAGATAAATCTAAGTTAAATTTGGTACACAGATTTACAACGATTTTCGCCAATGCTACACCTGTCAATCGAGGCTCTATGTCACCTGAATTGTTGTCTTCACGTCTAAGAGCATCGTAGTATCACAAAAAGTCACAAAATGTTCCTTAATAATACCATCATGCAAATATCGGAATGATAGACTCAGCTGTGAGATATGTGATATATCTATTGTTTCATCGAACAAAATTGAAAAATATTTAGCTTCCCGCACATTCTGTAAAATGTTTTCCTGGATGATTTCTGCGCAAACATCTATCAACTCATTTTGTACAGTCTTGCTGATGTACGTTTTTACAGTCGAAACAGTAGAAAGAAATTTTAGTTTTTTTAACTTAGAACTATGTTATGATATGTTGAAGCTTACGTAGTCGAAAAACGCGCGCAAGTGTGGCGCGGTAAAATTCAAATTTTCGATACGTTCGTTCCCAAACGTTTGCATACGTTTGCATACACAGTTATTATACTATATTATATTAAATTAATTAAATATTGAAAGTATGTAGTTACATAAAATCTGTATGGTGACAAAATATATAAATAAAATCATTATGTTCAACTAGTGGTCCACCTAAGTCCTGGAACCAGCTCAGGGGGGGGTCATGACCCCCATGACCCTCCCCCTGGATCCGCCGTTGTCTAAGTCTAACTTCAATTAAGAATCCAAAGACAAATGCGTTTTTCTAGTTTATATTGTCTCTAGTTTTCTGCACTCACCAAACGAAACACATCCGCGTTAAACTGCTATTTTACGCTGGTATTCTGTGTGAGGTGTTTCTTCCCTGGTCGAGCCGACCCATTTATGCTACAACTAAACATTTTTTTTAAAGAGGGGGAAAACGAGCGTACGGCTCACCTGATGTTAAGTTAGTACCTCTGCCCATGAACAACCGCAACACCAGGGAAATTTTGCTGGCCTTTTGGAAAGGAGTAAGCTCTTTTCTTGAAGGTCCCTAAGTCGTATCGGTCCGGAGAAATCGCTGGTGGTAAACAATTACATAGAGAAGTTGTACGAGGAAGAAAACTTCTAATAAAATGCACAGTGGTAGACCGCCACCGGAAAAGATGCGTTAAAATCGGTGCCAACTCCGGAGCACACGTCTTCTTCACAATGGGAAGGTATCCATCAGGCCCACTCGACTTACTGATATATATACCGCTATGGAACCCTTGCGGGATGGGCCAGGGAGTCGTCCTCTCTATGCCGACAGAAGTTCTCTTGGACAGCCTTTGGGAGGGACCAAAATGCACGTGTTCATGAAGAAAGGCGAACTAGCTTCTTGCCAATCCTGCCGATGTGCTGGCGGGCTGACGGGTTGGCGAAGAAGCGGTAACGCGCGGATTGACCAAAACCGCTCTTTCTCTCCTTTCTAACACTAAATGGCCCGTGTCGACACAGACGTGCCACATTAAACCAATGGCCTTGTGCCCGGCTCAGCCCCACCCGATTTTTAAATAATATTAGCGCCCGTTGTGTTACAGTCACTAATCGTTGTAATAAAATGATAATTCGCGTGGCAAAAGGTGCCAAGTTCGTCAAAAGCGATTGACCGTCAAAGAGAAATTCGAAAGTTCATCGCAGTTATGACTTATTTTGTCCAAGGAGAGGAAACAATTTACAAATTTTATGGACAATTTAATTCAGTAATAAAATTTATATGTATGATGATAAAAACAAATTTTTTTTTATTAGGTTGGGAACGAAACTTGACTGAGAGCGGAGACGGTATTAAAAAACAAAAACGTCACGTTTTCTTGTAACGTGTCACCGCCAGTGCTGCATGAGTATATTATTATTTAACCTATTTATAAAAAATATAAAATAAAATAAAAATGATCGTAAAGAAGTTTCACTTCGTACGTGTGTACACAATTACACGCACACATTTTTTTAATTTAAATTACAATTGGCTTGGAAAAACAAACTCGGCTCAGCTGCTTATGCTGTTGAAAAGATTCGTCAACCTTACTGCTAGGTTACTTTTCATTAGTAACTGCCACAGCATAGTATCTTACGACATTTTATTGTGGGGACATGTAGCTGACGTGAAGTCTGTTTTTGTTTTGCAAGAAAAGGCAGTAAATGTAATTTGTAATTTGCGCTATATATATAATGATTTCTTATATTTACGCGAAGACTACACATTAAATTAAACTAAATTTTATGGATTTTATGAAACGTCGGGAATGAAAAAGTTAAATTATTGCGCTATATAGATATAAAATATTCGTAGTGGAGTCAAATGTGAAAAACGTCTGCTACATAAGTAATTTGTTCCATCGTTTTATCATGGCAACGGAGTACTACAGCAAGCTGAAGCAAAGGGGTGGAATAAGTTGCCAGTATCTTTCCATACAATTTGGGGGTTTTCAAGATAAGAGTGAATACGCTTTTGTTAAGTCAGTACGCCTTACCATCATCGGCTGCATCACCACTTACCATCAGGTGTGATGTTAACCAAGCACCGGCTTAGAATAGTAAAAAAAGCGATCGCTTATCCAACTGGTAACCAGCATTTATGGCAACGCTTCTTTCCAACGGGAGAGGCCCAGGACCAGCAGTGGAGTTAGCATAGGCCTCACCCATAGATTCCTCATAGTTTGTTAAGCGGTTTGACAACCGAAGTTTTCTATTACTTTCTGTTGTTATCGGGAAGATGCTGCTACCCATCTCCTGTTCCAGTTTCCCCCTGTCGCCTCTTGCAAGACCCTCGAAATGACATAAGGTAGTGGATATTCCTACACCGCCACTAGACCCTGATTCCTGTATATAATATAGGAAATATAGGACGGCATTCGTCCATTCAAACCTATCTCTGTCCAGCATAACGGTACATGATCGTCGGTCACAAATATGCAATACACTGTTTGTATTGTACTCAAATGCAGTATCAAAGACATAGAGAAACATGAATAAAAACCAAATAAGTTATGACTTTGCCCAATATTAATTTTTACGCGGCAGAGCTACCCTTCAGGGCATTATAGCTGCAGCACGAATGTGTCAGCTCCACCGGAGGAGGACAACACTCGCACGGAATCATTAATCATAAACATCATCATCACAACCTAATAAAATTCCCACTACTGAACATACCTCTCCCACCGACTGCCTCTTAGTGGGGATATTTGACGTGGTTGCCACAATTAGGGTTGGCAACCGCAGTTTATTTTTCCTGATGTTATTAGGAAGACGCTGCTGCCCATCTCCTGGGTTGTTTCCATCGGGACGATATAGGATAGTGGATATTCTTTAATGTCACTCCACTGTTCCGACAGAATACAAGCGTGATATAGCAGTATAATGCTGTTGTGTTTCGTATGGTGCACTTTTTTCTACTTTCATGTTATTGTATGTGTGTATATATGTTTATTGATTATACTTTTAGAGAATAAGGGTGACAAATGAGCACACAGTCCACCTAAACTGGTAAGTGGATGCTGTAGCACATACGGATATAAATCTACTCTTTATGAAGAATCAAAATGCAGATGCGCTGCAACACCTAAGGGCTAAGACGGAACACCTCGTTTCCAGTAAAACGGGTCTCAGGTTCTATACGCTTACCACACAAAACCAAAGACTTAAGCTGCAATTTTACGCTGGTATTGTGTATACATAAACTATAATATAATTAAATTTTCATCCTAAAGCGAATTCAGTTATCAAAGACGCTTCCTTTGACGGAATTATACTGTCAAATTAATTAACCCTCACCACTATTATAACAACCGTTTCATCAGCTTTGAATAGACCATCAAACAGCTATCGTAGAAGCCATGAAAGCGAACATTAACGACACAAATGTGATGGACTGAGCCCAATCAAAATGAATACAATGGTTCTGAATTACTTCACCGTACAAATCAGTTTTACATCCATTCCTTTGTTACAAATTTATATTAACTATAACTACGTTACAATACAAAATGTATCTTAACACTAAGGTAATAAGGTTTAATATAAAGTAAATGTTAAAATATACAAAGGGCCGTAAACGCAGTGGATGGCATTAAACGACGTGTGAAATGAAAGCCTAATTTAATTATGAACAAAACAATTATAGTCGGAACGAATTTGAATCCGAGGACTGATAGGTCGTTATTTAGCCCTTAATTGTGTTACGGTATGCGTATTTGAATGCTAATCTATACTTAATATTATAAATGACAAAGTAACTCTGTCTGTTTTTCTTCTGCCTTTTCATTCGGCATTAGGCATTATTTCATTAGGCATTCGGTAAGATGATGGTTCCTACTGGCGTCCTACCACAAAGTAAGCCGTGAGCTTCTTCCAGATACTATAAAAAATAGTTTTCAATTTTTTTTATGGGATAGGGTGACAAACGAGCACACAGTCCACCTGATGGTAAGTGGTTGCTGTGACCCATGGACATCTACATCTATCTTCAATAAAGACTAAAGATGCAGATGCGTTGTTACCCGTGAGGACTAAGATGGAATGCCTCGTTTCCAGTAAAAAGGGTCTCCGGTTCCGGTCTACACTCACCATACGAAACACAGCAGCATTAAGCTGCTATTTTACGCTGGTATTCTGTGAGGCCGTGGTCCTTCCCCGGTCGGATCGACCCATTCGTGTTACAACTATACCAGAAATATAGCTGCAGCATGGCTCTACCACGCATAAATAATAAACAATTTTTACGGATTTTATCATGAAAATGAAAATCCTAAATATAATTATTTTTC